CTCGGACACCAGATATGCAAATGAAGTTTTAATTAATCCAAAACCTACTCAAATGTTTGGTTGAGGCATAGCTGGAATTTTTTACCACTGACTTTAATACCTGATTTTAGCCAACAGTTTTAAATGACCCAGTGCATTAATGCACAGATGATACAAATAAAGTGTTAAACAATTTATTTATTAGTAAATTAAAAATTTTCTTTTCTTCAATATAAACGTTTTAAATAAACTAGATAATAGTCATTAAGCTTGTGCCATATATCTGGCAATTTCCTGGTCCCACTCGGCCTGCGATATACCGTTAACCTCATCATAATAGGGTAGCTCTGCCTGAAGGCCAGTCACCCATCGCTGGAAATTGGGGTACGCACTGACATTTGTGTGAGCTTTTTCCAGATATACCCAACACGCCAGTAGTGACAAATCGGCCAGGGTCAACTGGTCGCCAACGAGATACTTATTTTGCTTAATTAGCACTTGATCCAAATTTTTGAGGCTATTATTAAACGCGGTTACTTTATCGGCCGAGGGTTGGTTTCCTGAAAATATGGGTGTAAACTATGTTGTTGTTTGTGAGGAGATAAATAGTGTAAATTAACATTTATTTTATGTATAATAATTATATTTATAAAGTGCTGTCACATACAACATCTATGATTTGGTTCAAAAATGTGAGGTCAAAGTTGAGAGACCGGTCCACTAGAGCGCGCTGTTTCGGGTCCTTTGGGTAGAGAGTGCTGTCCGGCGCGTATCGGTTGCACAGGTATTGCATTATAGCCCGACTCTCCCATAGAGCAAACCCGTCGTCCACTAAAGTGGGCACTTTATGCAAGGGATTTAACTTTACAATAAGTAAACAAACATGTATTATTTATATACAGTAATATAATTATATTTAACATAAATTAAACTATATATGAAATATACAATTAAATAAATAAATAATTATTATTTTATTTAAGAATATAACGTATTTATGATAAAATATTTAGTTTTATACATTATATCTAAATTATATTATTAACTTTCGAACGCCAATAAATTAACTTACAGCTAGAAACTCTGGTTTCAATTGTTCGCCAACAGCTAGGTCAATTGGCTTGAAGTTAACATCAAGTTTTAATTGCCTGACTGTCATCCAAACGGCCCGCACTGGACCACTGTATCGGTTATAATACAAATCAAATGTCATTAAAAGTTAGCACAATTAAACTTAATAATAAAAGTTATATTATTTTTTATATAAAATTGTGTTATTTAATAACATCAACAGTTTTATTTAATAGTTATATATGAATCCCTTTTATCTAAGGTTACGTAAAACTTAATGCACTTATTATAAACTAATAAAGCACTATTAACTGATAGTGTTCAAGGTAATTACTATGATTGTAAATTGTACAATGTAAATGCAATTAATTGTGTGTAAAAACTGTCATAGATTTACATTACAGTAAAAGTTGAAAATCCTATCTAGATCTAAAACTTATATAATTAAACTCACTATTTCTAATCACATTTGTTTATAAATACATCACGGGACCACTGAATGGGTTAAAATATAAATCAATTGTCATTATTAGAAATTATCTTAATTAAAGTTACAATTATTTCAATAATCTATGTAATCTAAAAATACAATTTATGGAATTTTGAATTCAATAAGATTTTGCTTTTAAATATTGTACTTTTATCTATATTTCAGATTAATGGCAATTAGTAATTACATTGTATTTGCGTGAAATAGCAAAACATGTTTCAAGGACACTTGGTCGAGTGGTACATAATATCGAGTGTATTTACCTGTTTTGATTTAACCTATTAAACAATATTACATACAAAGTACTTCATATAACAAACTGTACGAATAGTGCACGGAAATCGAGCACAACATAATTGGATTTGAATTGGATTTGTAGCAATACTATTAAATCTAAATTAGTAAATATGGTACCAAATTAACAAGTGACAAATAAGCTTTAAAATGATATATTTCATGATATATCAAATAATTTAATTTACAATTATAATTAGTAATTATAGTTACAAAAATATAATCATGCAAATTATTTGTTCAAGGTCTATGTTCACTAATTAGTAATTAATCTTATTATATTAAACCTGATTAGACTGACCAAATTAAACATAATTCATTATATGACAATTAGCAATCAAATTAAAAAATTAAAATATGATCTAACTTAATTTAAAACAGTTAAAAATAGTTAACTCCAATTGCTTAAACAAATCAATAGGGTGTGTTTAATGGGAATTTAACATTGGATATACACACCCTATAGATTAAAATTACTATCCACTATATTTTTGTAACTATAATTACTAATTATAATTGTAAATTAAATTATTTGATATATCATAAGATATATCATTTTGAAGCTTATTTGTCGCTTGTTAATTTGGTACCATATTTACTAATTTAGATTTAATAGTATTGTTACAAATCCAATTCAAATCCAATGATGTTGTGCTCGATTTCCGTGCACTATTCGTACTCTGACATTCAAAAAATAATAATATGACCATCAAGTTTATATATTAAATTATATACCGTACATTATATCACACATAATATTAGTTTAAATATAATTATACTAAATTCCGGTCAATAATAAGAAGATATTAATCTCAGCTAAGTGTTTATACTTTTGTACCCCTATTAAGTATGGATAGTGTAATAAACCCCAATTATGCTGTAATATTATATTTCTTGTTACTTACAATACTTGCAATGTTTATTTGTTAATAATTTTAATTATTGTTAATATTGCGTGATTAAATTTATCTAACCAAATGTAGTACAATCCAGGAGTTAAGAGTAACTAGTAATTTATCTCAGTGACTCCTGGTCGAATAATCTGTAAAATAAAACTAAAACATACAGATTAATTAAATATTAAAATAAAAAGTAATTACTTTTAAATAAAACAACGATCACACAACGATGCTATACGTTAATCACAATTCGAATGATGCATAGGATTAGTTAAAATAATAGGTTAAATAAAATAACATACACCAATAAACTTTGGTTTTTAATTGTTCACCGGTAGCTAGACTAATTGACTTAAAATTTACATCAAGTTTTAGGTGCCGTGCAGTCATCCACACGGCTTTCGTGGCACTACTGAATTAGTTATAATCAACACTGTTTTGGATTTACACGATCGTGTAAATTTGACAATACAGTATTTTGTAATTTATACACTATTCATGTATTAATCATATATAGTGTACAATAGTTTAAAGGTAGGGTTTATTATAAACCTGAATAAATCGTTTATTCAAAAAATGAATAGTATTTTTACATTCATTTTAAATAGTCATTTATACAGGGTGGAGATTAATCAACTATGCAAAAGTAAACTCAAATATCTCGAAAGGTATTCGGTCTAGAAATTCAAATGATATATCAAAATAATCATCAACTGCGGGAGTTTTTGTTATGATATGGTCAATATATTTGACCTCCTATTTTAGAAATAATCTCAAATAAAGCAAAATTTTATCTTTTTTCCATAGACATAATGTTAAATTCAAACTTATTATTGAGCAAAATCCTGAAATAGGTATAAAGTTAATTTTGCTCCTATTTAAGAATATGCAATCAAAATTCTTGTCTTGCATGTAGTTTTTGTATTATAGAAGATTTTTTCAATATTTCAGATATTTAAGATTGTTTCAAAACTTTTGCGTGTCGGATTTTGATCACCATTTGGGAACAGCTGAAGTGACAATATTGTCACTTTGCACATATATAGTTCCATGTCCGGAAATTATTTTAACATACAAATAATTTTGGTCACGTGACTATATTATTGTAAAAATGGACCATTCGCGAGACTATGGAGAAAATGGCAAAAATTTGGTAGTTTTGAGATTACTTCTATAATAAGAGGTCAAACATATTGACCATATCATAACAAAAACTCCCGCAGTTGATGAGCATTTTGATATATCATTTGAATTTTTAGACCGAATATCTTTCGAGATATTCGAGTTTACTTTTGCATAGTTGATTAATCTCCACCCTGTACTGTATATTATATTTTGTAATTGTTAGATTAATTCTGTATTTCGCTGTGTTTTCATATGTGTAAAAATTACTTGTAAATCATTTGTATCATTTATAATGTATTTTGTAATATACAACAAGCCTACAGTCCATTCGGGATCATTAGTTTCTACGTGTCTACATGACCATGTTAACTCAAATCTATCATAATTAATTATTATTGAAACTATACGGGTACAGTTTATTGAATTTACAGTATGTGTTCCAATATAAGTACATGCATCATATTGAGCATAATTATAGGCAATTAAGTTTTATTAATCTATTAAAATTAATTACAGTGTATTTAGCGGTAGGTTTTGCAATAAGTATTTATATTAAATAAGTTGTTAATAATTTATAGATCTTTATTATTATTTTCAATATTTTATAATTAATTATTATTCAGTAGTTACAAAACAAATGAAATAATACTAATTAAAAAGTGTTAATATTTATCGTGAAATATCAATTATTTTAAGGAATGAGGCCATAATCATCATTAATATCTGTTAATAAATATAAACAATTGATATTAAACGTTATAAATCTCACAATAAACCGTATAATAACCTCAAATGCTTTGTGATGGTTTATGATAAACATTTTCCAACAATAAAAACCAATACTCTTATCGCTTAATTTCTCAATCATTTCCGTTAACTTAAATAACAAAAAACATATTTTAAATAATTATTATTCAAATAAAAAATTTGAATAAAATTAGTAATTTTCCAGAGGATTATAAATTAGGAATTGTAAGCAAAACAGTTATACCTTTATTTTAGTGTGAATTGAGTCAAACGTATTGAGTTTTTGGACAAATAAATCATTTAAAAGTAGATATGATTTTGAGATGTGATTAACGACCGAAGAAGCGGTACTCAATAGGAAGACCACAAATAATGCAAAGATTAATATGAGATAATAAAAGAGTAATTTATTAATGAGTTCTAATCGATTGAATAGAGCGACAAATGATAGGAAAAGAAAGTCAAATATAATTATGGCTAAAATAAAGCACAGAAAGTGTGACCAATAGTTTTGGTTAAATTCTTGAATCTCATTATGCATTAAATTAATTGCTCTCAAAATATAATTCATTTTGTTTTGATTTAGTTTTTTACATTTTAAATCATTAATTGTAAGATAAAATCTTTTGAGTTTTAGATTCAAATAAAAGCAAATGATATGAAAATATGTGATCTGAAAGACCAGAAAGTTTGCGCTGAAATATGCAAATAAGACAAAAATTAAGACCCAAAATATGCCGAAAATTATTTCAAAACCATTTGCATTGTATATGAGAGGAATGAATGCCAATCCGATTGCTGTAGGAATGGCAGTGAGGGCTACGATATGCGAAAGTTTTAAAACAATTTTTGATCGTTTAATTAATTTATAGACATCTCTACTGTCTATGAGATCAACACTTTGTGGCGATATTAGTCCTGAAAGCACTTCAAATGGTTTCAAATATGAGGGCTTAATATTATTCACGTAATACCAGAAATGTAAAACTTGGGATACAATTGCAATCATACCATAACTGATCATTTCGAGCCAAAAATGATATTTCACTTCTGGACATAACAGGGAAACCCAGTCTCCGACTAAAATCAAATTAATACTTGGATTATCACTCAATACAGTTATTGATACAATCCCTAACAGAGTGTAGAAAACATTGATGGTAAAAATTATCACCGGATTAAAGAATTTATGGAAACCCAGTCTCCGACTAAAATCAAATTAATACTTGGATTATCACTCAATACAGTTATTGATACAATCCCTAACAGAGTGTAGAAAACATTGATGGTAAAAATTATCACCGGATTAAAGAATTTACTTCTATTTACAGAACCAAACTTAAAAAGTGATAATCCATAGGAATATAGTTGACTGCCGGCGCTCTTTACTACTAAACTCGGATCCAATGGTCTGTCAATATTTATTTCGTCAAATCTAAACAAACGGTTCATTTTAGGAATCGATTCCTTTTTGTTCTTCATTTTTATACTCTATTTATTAATATTTTGTTAATATATATAAATAATAAAACTGTGTTATTTATAAAGTAATATAAATTGAAAACTAGTGCTAATAATTATCAATTTATATAACACTGCACAATTGTTTTTGCACTAATTAATTAGCAACGTTGAATTTAATATGTTAAACATTATTTCGTTGTGGTTATTTTTATACACGTTCTGTATTTGACATTGAATTTAATGTATTATAAATTAATTGTATCTCATTTTTACCATTTAGAATATTTCTTAATATAACATTAATATTTCAGGTTTATAAATAATTAATGTTATAATGTTTAAAGATTAATATGTAATTTCATTTTTATTGACATTGTTTAAATTTTATAAAACATAACTGCAGACAATAATTTAATTGTTAAGCAATGTCTTTAAACAATATTAATGAGAATAAAGACCTCGTGTTTTAATAGTATATTTGGCAATGTTTTCCATAATGTTATTGCCTTAATATACAGTATATGAACACTCATTTTGATTCCATATCAATATATAGTGATTGAAGTAGTTTTGAAAAATGTAAGATTTTCTAAAAATAGGAGCAACTTGCTGGAAATATTCTCGAGATTGACAAATCATTTTTTCCAATTGACTCCAACAGAGTTGAGGAAAAATTAGGGTACAAAACATCCCAAGAATATGACTGAACCTAAAAAAAGCATTCATTTTTTGTTTAAAATTAAACACTTTTTGCCATACATTCAAAGTTGTGGAAAATTTAGGGTTCAAAACATTTCCAGAATATGACTGAACCTAAAAAAGCATTCATTTTTAGTTAAGAATTAAACACATTTTGCTGTACTCTCAGAGTTGTGGAAAATTTAGGGTTTAAAACATTTCCAGAATATGACTGAACCTAAAAATGCATTCATTTTTAGTTTAGAATTAAACACATTTTGCTGTACTCTCAGAGTTGTGGAAAATTTAGGGTTTAAAACATTTCCAGAATATGACTGAACCTAAAAATGCATTCATCTTTTGTTTAAAATTAAACACTTTTTGCCATACATTAAGAGTTGTGGAAAATTTAGAGTTTAAAACATTTCCAGAATATTACTGAACCTAAAAATGCATTCATTTTTTGTGTAAAATTAAACACTTTTTGCTGTACACTCAGAGTTATGGAAAATTTAGGGTTTAAAACGTTTCCAGAATATGACTAAAGACAGGAATTTTTGTGGAAGAATGCAATCTGTGTTTGATTTCTATAGATATTTTCCACTATTTATCGAAATTATTTATTCAAAAAGTTTAAAAGTAACCAAAGATTGAAGGTTTTGTTTAAATGAATGTGAATGGCAACCAATAATTAAACAAAAACTAATTTGATTACAAATATTATAAACAAATACTTAAATTAATCTCGATTTATTTTTAAAAAACACTAAACAATGATCAAAAAATTTACATTTAAAAAAAGTTTAGTCTTTATTCAAATAATGGATTACATAATGAAGGAGAAGATCGTAACAGTATTTGTATTCCGTCTGCAAAAACAAACAAATATTAAACTCTTATCCCAAATGTGTGGCCAATTGTCTTACACTCTCCACCAGTTGTGGTCGGTGTCGACGGACAGTGCGAACGGCGTTGAATATATCGACCTCCCGGTGCTGTACCACCTGCTCCATCGCCACGTTGGCCGCACAGTACACACCCGCCCGGGCCTTACCATTGCTGATAACGAGAAAGACAATAAACATGGTAAAATACACTCACACACAAAACCAACATGATCAAATAAAACATTTGTATGACATATAACTTACTACGAGATGACAACTACTGGTCCATAATTGCTGCGCTGTCGCCAGCGCTCAACCATATTCATGAGCTCCACCAACGCGTTGGTAGAAGTGGGCACCTTATGCTCCGGAGGCCAGCATAGGATCTGAAACAGTTGTGTAGTCTTGGGCTCGGCCTTCACTCCGGCCATCAATTCTGTGAGCGAAACCACTTTCTTATTGATGCGAAATATCCACGACTTGATGTTCGGGTAGTGATTGTATGAAACCATTTCGACGGTAAACACCGGACCGTACTTTTGCTTCTTCACCTTCTCGTTGGGCCAAAAGCTCGGGTATGTCTACGCAATGTATACAACACTGTATATTAGCCCTTGTATTGTAAATATAATTGAGCGGAGAATGTATTGAAGTGTAGTTACATTACTGGGCAAAGGGTTGCCCAAAACGATCACAGAATTGCATTCGTGGTCATAGATGAGGGACCAAACGTCTTGCATTGTCTTCTTCATTGGCCACTCAGTTATGATGTATTCTTTAGATCGGGTGTAACCCTAATGTATAGCAAGTATTTACCCATTAATTTATTACATATTTTAAAATTTTACAAACATATAAACTAAAAAAAACTATATTTTGCGCTAAAATACATTTATGCAAAAATTGTGTGCCCTCACAAATGTTATTAATAAAGCTATAATTACATGTTTAAGCATATAAACAATTTATTATTTTTATAAAATGTGAATTTTAAACAAAAATAAATGAAATTAATTGAAATAAAGTCTTACGTCGACAAAAACGGCGTTAATATAATCGGTGCTATCATTGCTCTGGAATGATGTGAGATATGGCCGGAAATTGTCGGCTGAAAAACATAAGCAATATTTTGGGAGAATTGTGGAGAAATGAAAATAAAATTAATGGCAAAACTAGAAATACAAATAAAAATACATTAAAATATTTATATATAAATTGATTAATGAACTGAAATGTAAAGAAAATGTGCGAAAATTTTGGCTGACATTGAAAATGTGTTGCGAAATGTTTGCAATTTTCACCAATTAATGCCGTTTCGCTGTTCATATGTAACACCAGTTAAAAGTTATTATTGTTTTTCTTTCATGAATTTCTAAACGCGAAATATTTTAATGCTCTCTAAAAAAGTTATTTATTTATTTTGTTTGATGTTTATTATGAATGTGTTTTAAAATGTGTTATGAAATTAGCGTCTTTGTAATGTCGTGTCATATGATATAATATACTGTATATAACGGGTAGTTTTGTGTGAAAATAACTTGCAATAATCATGTTTAATCATTGCCTAAATGTGTTGTTAAATAAATGTTGAGATTATCCCAAATCTACTCACGAGGAACTATAGACACGTCCCGATTCTTGTCCCGATTCTCGATCCGATGACCGCCAGCGCAGTCACCAATTGTCGGCTTAACAGTCATTTTCAGTATTTTCTATACCATATAACATAGGAATCAATATTTAGTATACATTCTGTATATTCTGTTTGAAAATTTTGAAACTTTAAAACACAATACTTTTACTTTTTGTACCTGATATTCGAGGAAATATTCATTTTGGTTCATAACGTTTTTACTCGACTTGAATCTCATTTGTTGCGACAGTTCTGCGACTGGGAACCAGGTTTTGCCACAAAAATAGGCCTCTTCTAGCGTGTCGTACACAAACTTATACTGGTCCTATTTTGCACAACATAGTTAATTAATATTTATGATTTGTTTGCAATATTTTAATGCACTCTATGTAACTTATTGTTAAAATAAAATTATTATTACAAGAATGGTTATTTTTATATAGATTTATGTAACTTAAATTGTGAAAAATAATGTCTACACTTATAATTAGCTCCTATTTGTTAACCAAAAATGTTTTGAATTATTTTAATACAACTATGAATTGATTGGACCGAAAAATATTTAGTTTTATGTTTTGATTTATTAATGAAATTATATTTAGATGAAAGTTATGACAAGCATTTCGGCTATTTATAGAATATTAAATATATTTATATAAATACATGAATTTGTTTGACTGTGAAATATGTGTTCAAAATTGCACAGTGCCATGAAAATAGTGCCACAAAAGCCCATAGACTTTGACACATTCAACGCTCACATTCAGCTCATGAGGAAGTATGAAGTGCTGCCGAAGATTGAATTTCATGTGAGTTGTTATCCATTAATGTCCTCATATTTGTTGTGCACTTATTTGTACACAATTTCATTGCATCCCATGTATGACAATATTTGCATTAATTGTTTAATTTATTTGTTAATTCCTTTAAATTCCTTTATTATACTTTAATTGCTAATACTTTAAGGCTTAATATGTGCTGAGATTAGCATTTTGTGAGAACATAATATGTTTGTCACATAAATATTCATTATTAACATTATGTTAGAGCCTCTGTTTAGATGTAAACTAAATTTTAATTAATTTGTTCATTATTTTAGTTTTGTATAATATATAAATATTGTTGAATTAAATGATTGAATTATGGAATGTTTTGTTGCATTTTGGTTATATAGCAGTTATAATAAATAGATTGAGATGAATTTGCAGTTATTTGTTTATTGATAAATTTATAAAACAAATTATAGTAAGCAAATATATTAAATTAATTATACATTTATTTAAATTGACATTTCAAAATTATAGCTTAATTACCAGTTATCGTGCAAAACTAACCTTATTAATAATAAGTTAATAAGTTATATAATAAGTTATTACCATTAAAACATTTTTTTAAAAACATATTAGTGTAAGTATTATTGAATTAATTTTAATGCATTGTTATTGCTATTAACAGTAAAGAAATCATTATATTCTTTTAATTAATGTTTTTTATATTCAAAAAATTGTCAAACTTTTGACCGAAAAACCAAATTCTTTATTATTTAAAAAAACAATTACTATTCCTGTAAAATGAATTGTTTTGCCCTTTTTCGGGGGTATTTTAAGCCTAATTTGATTGATTTGTTGCATAAATTAATAGTTTGCGTCAAAAAACGAGACGACAACTAAACACAGTACACATCACGCCATGAAAGAGGCCAACGATCACAAGAATACATACCCCAAGAAATGTCTGCCCTGTAAGTCATTAATTCAAATTTTTTGTCATTTGACTGAAAAATTGCTGAATATTGTATATACAGTATATATGACATCATTTTATGTACTCGTTTTTATTAAGGAAATTAAATATAGTTTTGTTTTCAAATAAAAAATTCTGAATAATATTTACGAGAAATTTATATAAATTAATTTCTATGAAATCATATGATATAGTTGTGAGAGTTTTCGTATTTAATTGTAAATATGATAATAATTCAAATGGTTGTATATTTATTTAAATATATTTATAATTCAATTAAAAATACAGATGACTTCAATCGTGTGGTTCTGTCGCACACTCCCGACGAACCCGATTCCGATTATGTGAACGCATCCTATGTTGATGTAAGTGTCGGCCAAACAATGTGTCTCTCTGTATATAAGACATTCATAATAGGCTTATATATAAATTTACTCTTTTTGGCACAATTCCTATAATTGTTAAACAAATAATATTTTACATTAATTAATAATTTTGTTGATAACAATCTGTGTGTGCACTATGTGTAGAGCATATTAAAGCCGAACGCATACATTGCCGCTCAGGGACCCAATGAGTTCACTATAAACGACTTTTGGCGTCTCATTTGGGAACAGAATTCAATGCTTATCGTAATGTTGACCAAAGTGTTTGACTTCATACGAGTCATGTGTTGCCAGTATTGGCCGATGGAGGAGAACAAGCCCGAGATGTACGGCCAGATTGAGGTCACACTACTCAGTGAGGAACCGCTCGCAGATTTTGTTATCAGGACTTTCAAAGTCAGGAATCCCAGCGAAATGGTCAGCAAAAAATACCATTAGTTTAAAGTACTTTGTAATTTCATAATTGGTTTGTCTCCAGAAGTCACGCAAAAACAGCGCCAAATCGAGTTCGCGATCCAAACAGATATCCAACCACTTCAGGAGTCGCCAGAGTTTTAAGTCACAGTCGACCCGATTCTCATCGGTGCGGCCGTCGGTCAACACCATCGACAATACGATTGACACAAACTATTACAGCGACGCAAACCTATCGCTTCCGAGCGAGACTTTCCTGTCGGCGCGCAATGAGATGCTCTCCGAAGACCAATACGTGAACGGATTCAACGACGAGGATGTGGTCGACGACGACGTGTTTGGCGACGAAGACACTGTCGTCGAAGACGTGGAGACCAATGAACGGGTCATATATCAGTTGCATTATCATAGCTGGTCATCGCATACCTGTCCATTCCCTAACTCTTTGCTGCAGTTCCGGCGAAGAGTCCGTATTTATATGAATGAACTCCTTTTGGACGAAAAAGTCGATAAAATCGGACCAACTATTGTTCACTGCAGGTCAGCCCCATATCCTATTGTCTATGTATTATCAATGTATAGCAGATTATATCAAATATTTTTGGCTAATTTTAATTTTAAATGTTTGGAGTATTACTCGAAACCGATGTTATAATAACATAATATTTGTTCAGCAATTCATCCGTGAAATAGTTTTGTGTTTTATTATGAAATCGTTTTTCTTATTTTAAAGTATAGCTGAATAACGAAATTCTTGTAATAATAATAACCACTACTTGTAATATACAATTCGTGATTACAGTATATTAGACTTTGTTGAAAGAGTCGCCTATTTATAAACGCATCCAATCCTTCCAGTGATTGACTTTATTTGCAATTTTGAGTTTCAATTGTTTTTATATTATGACGGCTTTGTTTAGTTTGCATCTGTTTTTATTGCTATTAAAAACACAATTTCTGTGTTCAGTCTAGCGCTAAGAAAACAGAATATTCTTTAAGAATTCCCGATATTTTAAATATTAAGAAAATACAGAATAATAGTCTTGGAGTCATTGTAAGGGTTATGTCTCGACTGATTACTTGATAATTATTGATAATCCCTGACAACCAGTCAGTCAAACAAATAGGAATTTTTGTATCACATGTAAAATGTATACATTATGTGAGGGATTATTATTGTGTAAACTCTCATAATTCATAGGAAATTCAATGACAGAAACAAACATAAAAGAAAGGATAGGATTAACGACAAAAAATATGTGTGACTTAAATCTCATTTATAATCTCAATCATAACGTTATTTGCGTCGACTGTTGGAAAAATATTGGCAGCGATTGACCCAACTTGACATCAAATAAATTTTGTTGGCATCCATTCCTCATCCCATCCTTGACTCTCTCTCTCTCTCTCTCTCTCTATGGGCTTTTGTGGCACTATTTTCATGGCAATGTGCACATCATGGTCAAACGGTATCAAACCGCTGTTCAATTTACGTTACGATACTATTAATCACTTATTCTTGTCATCTCTCTCTCTCTCTCTCTCTCTCTCTCTCTCTCTCCACTAATCATTACAATATAAGCTGAAAAGTGATTTATTTGATTGTAAAACGATGTGAAGGCTTGAGTTCGTCGCCACAATTATTAGGCATAAAAAAGTAGTTAAAAAACTTTTGAACCAAACATCCATTATTTCCGTATGTTTTCAATCCCACAAAATCTCTGTTTGCTTTTTAATGCTCAATAATAAGACAATAAATATTTCAAAAGAGATATAATTTACAAATAATTAGAGTCAATGTTTTTAATAATATAACAATAAAGATAAGCATAACTATGATTATCTCATAATGAATGTGATTGTACTGATTGTGGTGATAGTGATGGCGGCGGCAGAACCGGTGCCTATATGTGCATCGATGCCAACCTAGAGCTGGCAGAAGAGGACGGCTTTTACGACGTGTTTGGTTATGCAAAACGTATGAAACACTCGCGTAAAGGACTCATTGAGAATATGGTAAGTCTTCAGACCCTCTCTATTGCCAACAATTTGCAACAATTCCTCCGCTTTTACTCTTCTATTATTATTTTCATTGCTCTTTCTTTTCTTAACTTACGTTACGATACTATTAATCACTTATTCTTGTCATCTCTCTCTCTCTCTCTCTCTCTCTATCTATCTACCTCTACGTTTACTTTGAGATATTTTGAATGAATTTACATCTTACACATTTGTTACGATTGAAAGTGTGGAAACTTTATTTCACTGACTTTAAAGCGCATAACTTGTATACATGAAAATATTTAAAGAAATAATAAATTATTATTAATAATAAATAACAGGAAAATATTGAAAACATGATATAATTAAACTATACTATAATTCAGACAATTAGCCAAAATTTGTATAAAATTCATATTTTCACGGGATTTTCAAACGTCATCCACTATTAGAGTGAAAGTGATTTCTAAAATAAATTTCTATTTAAAGTGAAAGCAATGAATGAATGAATGCTTTCCAATAAATATAAAGTTTTTAATTTCATAACATTCTTGAGTTTGGCTCAAAAATTATCACTTGAATTGATTCATTAAAATATGTGAATTGTCACTGACTTCTCGCTAAAACTATTCATATGATTTTTGAACACATATTTCACAGTCAAACAAATTCATGTATTTATATAAATATATTTAATATTCTATAAATAGCCGAAATGCTTGTCATAACTTTCATCTAAATATAATTTCATTAATAAATCAAAACATAAAACAAAATATTTTTTCGGTTTAATCAATTCATAGTTGTATTAAAATAATTTAAAACATTTTTTAGTTAACAAATACTAGCTAATTATAAGTGTAGATATTATTATTTGCAATTTACATAAATCTATATAAAAATAACCATTCTTGTAATTAACAATTTTCTTTTAAAAATAAGTTACATAGAGTGCATTAAAATACATGAAGATTATATGAATGATTGTATGAAACAAATCATAAAGATTAATTAATTGTGTTGTGCAAAATAGGACCAGTATAAGTTTGTGTACGACACGCTAGAAGAGGCATATTTTTGTGGCAAAACCTGGTTTCCAGTCGCAGAACTCTCGCAACAAATGAGATTCAAGTCGAGTAAAAACGTTATGAACCAAAATGAATATTTCCTCGAATATCAGGTACAAAAAGTAAAAGTATTGTGTTTTAAAGTTTCAAAATTTTCAAACGGAATATACAGAATGTATACTAAATATTGAATGCTATCTTATATGGTATAGAAAATACTGAAAATGACTGTTAAGCCGACAATTGGTGACTGCGCTGGCGGTCATCGGATCGAGAATCGAGACAAGAATCGGGACGTGTCTATAGTTCCTCGTGAGTAGATCTGTGATAATCTCAACATTTATTTAACACCACATTTAGGCAATGATTAAACATGATTATTGCGAGTTATTTGCATACAAAACTACCCGTAAATATACAGTATTTTATATCATATGACACGACATTACAAAGACGCTAATTTCATAACACATTTTAAAACACATTCATAATAAACATTAAACAAAATAAATAAATAACTCTTTTAGAGAGCATTAAAATATTTCGCGTTTAGAAATTCATGAAAGAAAAACAATAATAACTTTTAACTGGTGTTACATCTGAACAGCGAAACGGCATTAATTGGCGAATTTGTGCTGAAAATTGCAAACATTTCGCAACACATTTTCAATGTCAGCCAAAATTTTCGCACATTTTCTTTACATTTCAGTTCATTAATCAATTTATATATAAATATTTTAATGTGTTTTTATTTGTATTTCTAGTTTGCCATTAATTTTATTTTCATTTCTCCACAATTTCTCCCAAAATATTGCTTATGTTTTTCAGCCGACAATTTCCGGCCATATCTCACATCATTCCAGAGCAATGATAGCACCGATTATATTAACGCCGTTTTCGTCGACGTAAGACTTTATTTCAATTAATTTGGTTTTTGTTTGTTTTGAAAATTCACATTTTATAAAAATAATAAATTGTTTGTATGATTAAACATGTGATTATAGCTTTATTAATAGCATCTGTGTGGGCAATAAATTTAGGGTATTTTAGCGCAAAATATAGTTTTTATTAGTTTATATTTTTGTAAAATTTTAAAGTATGTAATAAATTAATGGGAAAATACTGTACTTACTATACATTAGGGTTACACCCGATCTAAAGAATACATCATAACTGAGTGGCCAATGAAGAAGACAATGCAAGACGTTTGGTCCCTCATCTATGACCACGAATGCAATTCTGTGATCGTTTTGGGCAACCCTTTGCCCAGTAATGTAACTACACTTCAATACATTCTCCAATCAATTCTGATTACAATACAAGAGCTAATATACAGTGTTTTATACATTGTGTAGACATACCCGAGCTTTTGGCCCAACGAGAAGGTGAAGAAGCAAAAGTACGGTCCGGTGTTTACCGTCGAAATGGTTTCATACAATCACTACCCGAACATCAAATCGTGGATATTTCGCATCAATAAAAAAGTGGTTTCGCTCACAGAATTGATGGCCGGAGTGAAGGCCGAGCCCAAGACTACACAACTGTTTCAGATCCTATGCTGGCCTGCGGAGCATAAGGTGCCCACTTCTACCAACGCGTTGGTTGAGCTCATGAATATGGTTGAGCGCTGGCGACAGCGCAGCAATTATGGACCAGTAGTTGTTATCTCGTAGTAAGTTCTATATCATACTAAATGTATTATTTGATCATGTTGGTTTTGTGTGTGTGTGTATATTTTACCACGTTATTGTCTTTCTCGTTATAAGTAATGGTAAGGCCCGGGCGGGTGTGTACTGTGCAGCCAACGTGGCGATGGAACAGGTCGTACAGCACCGGGAGGTCGATATATTCAACGCCGTTCGCACTGTCCGTCGACACCGACCACAACTGGTGGAGAGTGTAAGACAATTGGCCACAAATTTGGGATAAGAGTTTAATATTTGTTTGTTTTTGCAGACGGAATACAAATACTGTTACGATCTTCTCCTTCATTATGTAATCCATTATTTGAATAAAGACTAAACTTTTTTAAAATGTAATTTTTTTGTGAATTGTTTAGTGTTTTTTATAAATCGAGATTAATTAAAGTATTTGTTTATAATATTTGTAATCAAATTAGTTTTTGCTTAATTATTGGTTGCCATTCATATGCATTTAAACAAAACTTTCAATCTTTGGTTACTTTTAAACTTTTTGAATAAATATTTTCCATAATTAGTGGAAAATTTCTATAGAAATCAAACACAGATCGCATTCTTCAACAGATATTCGTGTCTTTAGTCATATTCTGGAAACGTTTTAAACCCTAAATTTTCCACAACTTTGAATGTATGGTAAAAAGTGTTTTATTTTAAACAAAAAATGAATGCTTTTTTAGGTTCAGTCATATTCTGGAAATGTTTTAAACCCTAAATTTTCCTCAACTCTTAATGTATGGCAAAAAGTGTTTAATTTTAAACAAAAAATGAATGCATTTTTAGGTTCAGTCATATTCTGGGGATGTTTTGAATCCTAAATTTTCCACAACTCTGAGTGCACAGCAAAAAGTGTTTAATTTTAAGCTAATTTTAAGCTAAAAATAAATGCATTTTTAGGTTCAGTCATATTCTAGGGATGTTTTGTATCCTAAATTTTCCACAACTCTTTTGATGTTAATTGGAAATAATGATTTGTCAATCTCGAGAATATTTCCAGCAAGTTCCTCCTATTTTTAGAAAATCTTACATTTTTCAAAACTACTTCAATCACTATCTATTGATATGGAATCAAAATGAGTGTTAATATAGTGTATATTAAGGCAACAACATTATGGCAAACATTGCCAAATATACAATTTAAACACGAGGTCTTTATTCTCATTAATATTATTTAAAGACATTGCTCAACAATTAAATTATTGTCTGCAGCTATGTTTTGTAAAATTTAAACAATGTCAATAAAAATGAAATTACATACTGATCTTTAAACATTATAACATTAATTATTTATAGACCTGAAATATTAATGTTATATTAAGAAATATTCTAAATGGTAAAAATGAGATACAATTAATTTATAATACATTAAATTCAATGTCAAATACAGAACGTGTATAAAATTAACCATAACGAAATAAGGTTTAACATATTAAATTCAACGTTGCTAATTAATTAATGCAAAAACAATTGTGCAGTGTTAGATCAATTGATAATTATTAGCACTAGTTTGCAATTTATATTAACACAGTTTTATTATTTATATATAAACAGAATATATTTCTGTTATAAAAAAATATTAATAAATAGAGTATAAAAATGAAGAACAAAAAGGAATCGATTCCTAAAATGAAGAGTTTGTTCAGATTTGATGAAATAAATATCGACCGACCATTGGATCCGAGTTTAGTGGTGAAGAGCGCCGGCAGTCAACTATATTCCTATGGATTATCACTTTTTAAGTTTGGTCCTGTAAAAAGAAATAAATTCTTTAATCCGGTGATAATTTTTACCATCAATGTTTTCTACACTCTGTTAGGGATTGTATCAATAACTGTATTGAGTGATAATCCAAGTATTAATTTGATTTTAGTCGGAGACTGGGTTTCCCTGTTATGTCCAGAAGTGAAATATCATTTTTGGCTCGAAATGATCAGTTATGGTATGATTGCAATTGTATCCCAAGTTTTACATTTCTTGTTTTACGTGAATAATATTAAGCCCTCATATTTGAAACCATTTGAAGTGCTTTCAGGACTAATATCGCCACAAAGTGTTGATCTCATAGACAGTAAAGATGTGTATAAATTGATTAAACGATCAAAAATTGTATTAAAACTCTCGCATATCGTAGCCCTCACTGCCATTCCTACAGCCATCGGATTGGCATTCATTCCTCTCATATACAATGCAAATGGTTTTGAAATAGTTTTCGGCATATTTTGGGTCATTATATTTGTCTTATTTGCATATTTTAGCGCAAACTTTCTGGTCTTTCAGATTACATATTTTCATATCATTTGCTTTTATTTAAATTTAAAACTCGAAAGATTTTATCTTACAATTAATGATTTAAAATGTAAAAAACTAAATCAAAACAAAATGAATCATATTTTGAGAACAATTAATTTAATGCATAATGAGATACAAGAATTTAACCAAAACTATTGGTCACACTTTCTGTGCTTTATTTTAGCCATAATTATATTTGACTTTCTTTTCCTATCATTTGTTGCTCTATTCAATCGATTAGAACTCATTAATAAATTACTCTTTTATTATCTCATATTAATCTTTGCATTATTTGTGGTCTTCCTATTGAGTACCGCTTCTTCGGTCGTCAATCACATCTCAAAATCATATCTACTTTTAAATGATTTATTTGTCCAAAAACTCAATACGTTTGACTCAATTCACACTAAAATAAAGGTATAACTGTTTTGCTTACAATTACTAATTTATAATCCTCTGGAAAATTACTAATTTTATTCAAATTTTTTATTTGAATAATAATTATTTAAAATATGTTTTTTTGTAATTTAAGTTAACGGAAATGATTGAGAAATTAAGCGATAAGAGTATTGGTTTTTATTGTTGGAAAATGTTTATCATTAACCATCACAAAGCATTTGAGGTTATTATACGGTTTATTGTGAGATTTATAACGTTTAATATCAATTATTTATATTTATTAACAGATATTAATGATGATTATGGCCTCATTCCTTAAAATAATTGATATTTCACAATAAATATTAACACTTTTAAATTAGTATTATTTCATTTGTTTTGTGACTACTGAATAATAATTAATTATAAAATATTGAAAATAATAATAAATATCTATAAATTATTAACAACTTATTTAATATAAATACTTATTGCAAAACCTACCGCTAAATACACTGTAATTAATTTTAATAGATTTTAATAGAATAAAACTTAATTGCCTATAATTATGCTCAATATTGATGCATGTACTTATATTGGAACACATACTGTAAATTTAATAAACTGTACCCGTATAGTTTCAATAATAATTAATTATGATAGATTTGAGTTAACATGGTCATGTAGACACGTAGAAACTAATGATCCCGAATGGACTGTAGGCTTGTTGTATATTACAAAATACATTATAAATGATACAAATGATTTACAAGTAATTTTTACACATGAAAACACAGCGAAATACAGAATTGATCTAACAATTACAAAATATAATATACAGTACATATTGCATTTAACAATAACAATTATAATGATAATGCAAAAATTCATGTGCAGTGTTAAATAATTTGTTGTTAATAGTTGTTAATAATTATTAGCAATAGTTTGAAATTTATGTGTTATTATAAATAATACAATAATTATTGATATAAAAACAGAATATAATCTACAATATAATAAAATATTAATAATTAAAGTATAAAAATGATGAATAAGAAGGAATCAATTTCTAAAATTAAAATCCTATTAAGAAATGACAAAATAAATGTCGACCGACCATTGGATCAGAGTTTAGTGGTGAAGAGCGCCGGCAGTCAATTATATTCCTATGGATTATCACTTTTTAAGTTTAATTTTGTAAAAAGAAGTAAATTCTTTAATCCGGTGATAATTTTTACTATAAATGTTTTCTACACTCTCGTTGGCGTTGTCTTATTGACAATATTGAGAGACAATCCAAGAATTAATTTGATTTTAGTCGGAGACTGGGTTTCCATATTACGGCCAGAAGTAAAATATCATTTTCGGATAGAAATGATCAGTTATGGTATGATTGCAATTGTATCACAAATCTTTCACTTCTGGTATTACGTGAATAATATTAAGCCATCATATTTGAGACCATTTGAAGTGCTTTCAGGACTAATATCGCCACAAAGTGTTTATTTGGTCGACAGTAGAGATGTATATAAATTGATTAAACGATCAAAAATTGTTTTAAAACTATCACATATTGTGTCTCTCACTGCTATTCCTACGGCTATTATATTGGCATTCATTCCTCTCATATACTATGCAAAGGGTTTTGAGATAATATTCGGTGTCTTTTGGGTCATTATATTTGTCTTATTTGCATATTTCAGCGCAAACTTTCTGGTCTTTCAAATCGCATATTTTCATATCATTTGCTTTTATTTGAATCTAAAACTCAAAAGATTTCATCTGAAAATTAGCGATGAATTTAGTAAAAAACTAAATCATAACAAAATAAATGGTATTTTAAAAGTGATTAATTTAATGCATAATGAGATAGTTCTTAAATTGGTTTTGATAACCAGTGTGAAAGACACGAAATAAAATCGGTATTAATATAAACTGAAAGAAAAGGATAGTAAACAGCGAGATAAGTTAGCTAATCTTGAGTAATTATTTAATGAGATTTATTATCTCATATTAATCTTTGCAACGTTTCTGGTCTTCATATTAAGCACCGCTTCTTCGGTCGTCAATCAGATCTCAAAATCATATCTACTTTTAAATGAGTTATTTGTCCGAAAACGCGATACGTTTGACTCAAACCACTTTAAAATAAAGGTTACTATCATTTACTTTCACTATTTGTTTATAATTTTTCATAAATTACTATTTTATTAAAATTTTTATTTACATTACATTTATTTAAAATCTGTTTGTTATTGACTTAAGTTAATGGAAATGATTGAGAAATTAAGCGATAAGAATATTGGCTTTTATTGTTGGAAAATGTTTATTATAAACCATCACAAAACGTTTGAGGTTATTATACGGTTTAGTGTGAGATTTATAATGTTTTATATCAATAATTTATATTTATTAACAGATATTAATGATGATTATGGCCTCATTCCTTAAAATAATTGATATTTCACGTTAAATATCAACAATTTATAATAAGCTTTCGGTGTTATAAATTAATTTTTTAATTGAGAGATATAATTTTTATCTTTATAAAATATTACTAAATGTTAATTACTAATTTTGTAATATTCGTTTTGTTGTTAATTTTACAAAATAATATTATAAATTATTGACTCAATATTATAATCAATAGTATAATACTATTATTAATTGTATTAAAAATAAGAACTTTATAAAAACAAATAATAAAAACAATTATTGGTCGTACAGACATTCATAATTATTAATTAATTCAATTTAATGAATATAAAATAAAAATTGAGTTTAAGTAGACTATTGTAATATGCAATAACAATAATAAGCCACTATATTTATACAGTTTAATATTAGTTTAATAGTTTCAATAATATCCATAATACAAATAATATTAAAGGTAATTTTGTAATAAAGAATTTTCAATGTTAATGTTCAGTTTTATAATATTCAAGTCAATTAACAAACTATCACATTATTTAATAATTAATAATGTAAATGTAAAATACTAGTAATTAAATGTTAATACAATTAGAAAATAAATTATTAGTGGAAAATTTTATTTGACTTAAAAGTTTATCAAAATTATCAAATAATAATTAGATGAATATTTTTATTATTTTTTGATTAGGCTTTAAAACATTTATAATACTGAAAATATATCATTATTTTTAATAAATTCACACATAAATTGTTAAAACAATTAAACCACTATAATATAGAGTCTATATTATCAGGAATTAAATAATAAATTTATAAAAATCGCATCTTTATAAGAAACACAAATTATAAGCATTTTGTTTAAAATTATTTTTTATTAACAATAAAACTTGATTAGTGCTTAAATTGTTTCAGTTTTAATTTGCATTAATTCTATCAGAGTGTAAAAATAATTACCAATAATAACATTATATTGCATTTAAGTAGATCTTAAAATACCATAAGGTTTTAAATGAGATAAAAATATAAAAAGCTAACAAATATTCAATTATTCTGACTATTATTTGGTCGATTTGATTGAGCCGTCCGTCACATCATAATCAATGGTCTCTTCGCCGTCAATCACTTCCACGTCGGACTCAATGCGCGACGATTGGCCAGAAATGACGGTATTGTTGAACAGATTGAAGGCGTCGAGCAGTTTGTTGGGCAACACATCGACGATCGCCTCTCTCAACATCACCACCTCTTCACGCAATGTCGAGATCTCGTGCTTTATGTCAACCAACTCTTGCTTCACATCCAAAGACTGCATCTGAAGGTTGGCCTCCAGTCGATCGACGGCTGTGTTCGCCATTTGGAGCTCGTATTTAATGGCCGACACTTCGATCGTATTCTTCACCAGCGCTTCCTTCGCCTCCAACACCGACTCAGTCAACATGTCCTCTGAGGCGCGGATTTGGTCTTTAATATCGGTGCCGATGGCCACCAATTGGCTCATATCGGCCGACATCTTGTCCGCCGTTTTCATGTGTTCGGCGCAGAAGTTCTTCATCTCATCCCTGAGTTTGTAAGTGTGTGCGACCTGTTGTTCAGTCGAGTCCATTATGAATGACGTGTTTTTGGCCACAGACTCCAGTTGTGGTGACTCCGAGATCAGCGACTCCTTAAAGTGGTCGCAGATCTGCTGCAACAGCGCGGAGATCGTGCCCTCACTCTCCACGCGAGTCACCACTCGGTCGAGGAGTTGTGTCGAGTCTTTCATCTTGAGTGCGATATCGTTGAGCACATCCACAATGTTTTCCTGTCGGTCGTTGTCTATCGATTCAAAGCGTTTATTGATTCGCAACAAAAGGCTGGCGTTTTGTATGGCATTAAACGAACAGTGAGTGCTCTCTAAGCCATTCCTCAACCTCTTGTGCTGCAGGTCTTCGGCGACCAGTGCTGTGATGGCCGGCGAGGCGTACGAACACAACGCGTTCCCAACGCTATTGTGACGGCTGTCACGGCTATCGCAGTAGCGGACACTCACCCGAGACTTCTGCGACTGCGACCGGTTCTCAAGCAATTGCGATAACAGTGGCATCGCTTCCAGTGTTGAAGACTAATAGTGACAATAATTTAGTGAACACTTTTCAAAATGAGTTTTTCATATAATGTTATCCGATATTTGTATGCAAAGTGTGAGTGAAATGTTTGGAAACGTGTTTTACTGTTAGGAAAATACTTATCAACTTTTATTGAGTGAACATTTGGGCAAAACTATTGCATGGGAAATACATGTCATTGAATTGAAAAGTGTCGCTGATTTTCAATACTTATCAATGTTTTGTGTAAATAATGATTAGAGAAATAGATGTGTGAAAGGGATTAAATTCAAAGATAATCTTTTGATATCCATTAGTATTACTAAATTTAGCATTAAATGCATTTATAAGCATTCAAATATGTCATATTATATGCATTAAAAAGTGGTCAAATAATGTGATATAAATATGATTTCAAATGTATTTAATGAACAATATGCCAAAACGTTGTGATGAAATGCTCGTAAAAACTCATTTAAATATTCTCAATATAGTATAAAATATAATTTTAAAATAGATTATTTTTAAATGCTATAATAATTACTGTAACTGCAATACGTAATACTACTACAGACAAACTCTGTAGAGGACAAACAAACAATTTGCTGTAATTTAATTATTAAATTAAATGTTGTTATTTTGTAGTTTATTTTTGTTGCCATAATAATGTTTGTAGAGAAAAATATAACCAATAATTATTAATTCAATTAAAGTAAAAAATTAAAAACTTATAAAAAATTGGTATAATAAGGTACATTAGGTACTTCACATAACATTAGATAGAATATGCACAGAATACTAGCTTATTATGAACACAACATTCTTATACAATATAAACATATATTATAATTAGATTTCTAAGTAAATTGAAATCTTCTTTAAAATCAACAAAGTTTTTAATGAGAAATTTATAATTAAGAGACTAACTAATCCGGGTTATATTGAGCCTCGCCTACAACCTATTGAAACAATCATTGATCAAATGAACCGCACATTTGCGGACCAAGACTACCATATTCTAAATATTCTACACCTTATGTATTGCATATACAATATTATTATCATTTTAACGGCTTATAACTTATAAATACATTAATTAATAGGCTAATGATTACATGGTGAAATTAATTGTGTGATTAGTAATTAAAATCCTATTGTGTTTCTAAGAACTCAAGGACTTCTCTGGCATGTACTGCACTATTTATCACCATATAGTATCTTATCATGGACAACAGGTATGAATCAATTGGGTTGTTTGATTGAAAACAATAATTTATTTAAAATGATAAAACAATTAATGTAATCATCGATTTTGATAGCAAACACACGATATTAAAAAAGTTAAATCCTTTTATGTTAGTATAAAAGCAAAATTTATATTAAAAATTGTTAACTAATTCTTGTTTTACATAAACTTAAAGAACAAGAAAAATGGGCAAAATTAGCACTTTTTTGCTTTCATCGTTGTGTTTGGCATTCATAACACAATTGGACGCCAATGTTATCCGAGGTATTGAAAAAGACCATAAATTAGTTTTATTTTTCAAAATACCATTATAACCATCAAATAACCATCATATATTGATTTTACTAATAGACAATGATGCTGAACCGGTACCGATTGTATGCTATTTTGGCGCCTGGGCATTTTGGCACCCGGTTGACAGGTTTGATATCACGGACATCAAACCGGCCGGACATCTGTGCACTCATATTAACTATGGTTTCGCTAAACTCAATGAAACAACTTATGAGATCCAAGTGTTTGACGAGACCTATGATATCGAAAAACGTAATCATTTTTAACCACAATTCAGTATGAATAATGTG